GAAGAGACTAAGTGAGGGGATGAGCCGGTGGAACGAGAAGGAACTTGCTTTTGCTTTGCTTAGCGCTGGTGGAGTTGGTACCATGGGTGCAGCTGCTGAACTAATCATCGAAACTGATTTGCAACCTTTTTCTCCCTTTTGATAATTTTATAGATTAGTGTATATGTACAGCTCTTATACGTTTTTACCAGTGCTTGCATAGGAATACTTGTGGAGAAATAAGTTCTTAACATTCCATATTAGCGCCCAATTTCATTTGCCCCGTACGGTCGTATGCTCACTAGTCTGACAATGACACTACCTTGGCACTCCCATTCAACACAACATTACAGGAACCACATTTCTTTTCTGGAATCTAATCAAACACTGTTACACCAATGAATCGAAGACCAACTTGAGCTCAGCCTATGGTGTTAGGATACCGTTTCAATACCAACTTGGGGCCTTAAAAGGACCTGCAGTGAATATTGCAAGCATTGTATACTGGTGAACGATTGCAAGTTTCTTTACTGTACTAAAAAGGTATATTTTTAAATAATGTTCAGGCACTTTGTTCTTATACAAGAATAATGTTCAGGCACTTTGTTCTTATACAAGAATAATGCGTACAATCATTCATATCCATATCAAGCAATTACGTCTCTGCCTGGACCTTGTCACTTAAAAGTGGAATATTTTGATGCCAAATGTTTCAGTTAGTCACATTCTGCGGTAAACATACACAACTTTACAATCCATTATTGTACATTCAAAGCTACCAACACGTAAGTGCAACAGGCTGAGAACCACCCTGTTTTTGGATTGGCCAATCTATCCTTCTTTTTTTTTTTTTTTAATATACCAATGAGGCAGGACACTCTTTAACGGTAGAAATGAACTTTCTAAAGATTGATTGACGCGATTTTAAACTTGTTTTCTTGAAAGTAAATTTTATTTGGATTATACTGCTTTGTCAGATGAATGGTGACAGAAGCAGTGACAGAGTCCTATGTAGCGAAAAATGATTTGATATAAAAGATGATTATATTATAAACAGTTCAATGATAAGAGTATCATGTAGCATTATATCAATCATTATTTCAATGATTCTGGCACCACACCGTCGCATGATTGTAACCCCGAATTATGCATTATGCATAACTGAGAGATCTATATAGGCCCGAAGTTTCAAAAACCCTGAAACTTTTCCTTGTTGCATTCAAGAAAATTCTCAAAGAAGTTCTGAAATTGTTCTGCAGGGACATGTTTGTGACCCTCTAGACTTGTTACCGAACCCGTGTCCCACATGTCTGGTTGGTTGATACCTTATCCTAAACCAGAAGAATCAATAATGAAATCTTTTAATAGCATAAGATGAATGTGGACCTGTGACATGTTATACTGATATCCAGCCAAAGAAGCTTAATTCTGATGACTTAGCAGTAGTTTCACACGGTTGGCAATGATAGTGGCAGGCAGGTTTTGCTAATTGAGAAATGTCTAATGTCTACTTAGATAAAGATATTGTAAGTGTTATGCCCTAGATACAATCGATTTAGGTTGTAAACGCTTTTAATATATTTAATGCATTTGATTTTGGCGAGATCTATTATTTATTTAAATTAATTTTGCAATAAATAATATTAAATAATAGAATCCAAAGATCCAATTTTTAGGTAATCTGTTAATCACAAGGAGTTGTGATTGTGAGATACAAATTACATATAATTGGATCTTGAATAAATCATGGTTGTAAGTAATAACGAGATACGGATATCGTTAATACAGTTAGACCATTACGTGTGGCATTTCTTACTTGTGAAGTAAGTAGCTGATCTCACGAGCTAAAGTGTGGTGACACTTAAATGAACACGTGGATGTTTTGTTATAGAACAAAACATTGGAGACCCGCTAAGAGATTCCACATGGATAACTATCTGAGTGTTAGTGGCTAATCTTTAACGTTCAGTAGTAGAATTGGTCCTTTGACTTGAGGTCGTCATGATACCTTATATGAGGACAGTCATACTTTGGCGGTGTTGGATGTTGCTCTGAAAGGGGCCGCTAATACGACATCGTTCGGGTACGTCAAGAATCGTATGAAGGTTGTGATTGATCAATAAAGGATTCGTCACTCTTAGATAGTAGGAGATTATGATCTGCGTTTCATTCAATTAAGTCGATGATGAAATCCTTGGCCAAGGTGTACTCATAAGTCGAAAAGGAGTTTTCGATTTATATTGACTTAATAGTGGAGTGAAAGATATGAT